TTTCTATTTTTTTTTCTCTTTCAGTATTGTTGTCCAGACATGATAAATAATTTTTTGGGACTGGCTAAAACAGAATTTTCAAACACAGCAAATAAGTCTGTTGATTCAGAGAAAGGAAAATTGATCATGTTAGTTAATGACTTTTATTATGGAAAACATGAAGGAGATGTCCAGGAAGAACAGAAGACTCACACAACCTTTAAATGCTTCAGTTGCTTGAAAATTCTAAAAAATAATATTCGGTATGTAAATACTTATTTTTGTTTCTATTTAAAATTTGAAATGCTATAGATACAAATGTTATATCTCTGACTTGATTTTTCTGTGTCATTTTAGATAAGCAATTTAAATACTTGATTTTAAGAACAAAAGCAGATTTTCTTATTAGAAAGCTTTTATCCTTTCTTGTACTTTTGACTCCTGGATCCACTTACATTTTTCAAATAGTTTAAGAAAAGACAAAGTTTATTTTAACCTATGACAAAATAAGCTTATTTTTCTTCAGTAGTCTCTAAAAATTTTTATTAGGCATATTTCATTTTGTAATGTCTTTAAATTTTATTTTATTTTTTTACATTATAAGAAGGAGCACTTCTTCAGAAGTGTCCAGTTTATCCTTCTCTGCAATAATCTATTTAATGATCAGATCTTTCAATTCATATTTATAATTTTTAGAACATTTGTCTTCTAGGAAAAAGTCATGGTTTTTGGAGTTATACTAGTCCTAGGAGACTATCTACTTTTATTTTAAAAATTCATTTTTATTCCCAGAGGAATTTTGAATTTTGTAAACACAGATACTTTATATTTTAGGAACTTATACTTTGTAGTCTTTGAGTTACATGATATATTAGAAAGATACCATATAAGTCAGTAACAAGAACAAAGTAAAGACATATTGAATGATGTTTTTCATTGCTTATAGAACCTGATATATTAGGAAAGGTGATTTTCTGCCATTTTATTATAAAAATTGTCAGTTATTCATCAAAAAATTTCAAGCTTTACATTGGACTCTTTTGTACTCACTACCTTGATTCTACCCTTAACATTTTATTCTTGTTGCTTCATCATATTTTTCTTCATCCTTCCTTCATTCTGTCTGATTTTTTTGGTGATTCATTTCAAAGTAAGTTGTGGATATCAGTGTACTTTGCTTACATAAGATATACTTACGTATACACACATATGTCAGTATGACTTTTACTCTTCATAACAGTCCTCTGAACTAGCATTTTTTAAGCACTTGTAGTTACTTCTGAGCCCAGCACTTACTTATTTTCTGGTGTTTCTTCTGTGATATTCTCCTGTAACAATTATTAATTGTTTCTTTATGCTAGTGTTTTATAGTTTGCAAAATTTATCCAGTATTTATTTTATAATAATTTTCATATTTCTTTACCTCCTTTTATCATACTGTAATAACCATCTAGAACTAATGGTCTCAGTAGTTTAACAGAAGGGAATTTGTACTTTGAAATAAAACATTGATACAGTACTGTAACTGTTCTACCTATTTCTGTATTCTTACCACTATTTTAATAGTAAAATATACCTGAAAGTCATGTTAATGGATAGGCAGAGAAGTGTGGTTCACTGACTTAATTCTTTATTAAATATGATGCATATTATATTACCAGTTATTTTGGCAGTAGGTTTTGGGTTTATTTAAGAAGAGCCCATTTAATAGCAAACATGAAAATGAAAAATGCCTTTTTCTAGAAATTGTTCCACGAGAGTAGCTACATATATCTATGTTACCAGACTATTTAGAAATTTTAAGCATACTACATTTGATACATCTATGAATTGAGCATTTAAAAATATTATTTGATAAATATAACCTTAATGGTAAGCACCTCATTACCAAAATTAAATGTATTAAGTATTTTGCCTTTATTTTTCTCAGTAAAGCTAGAAAGGCAAATAGTGTTTTTCAGTAGAATGGAAACAAAGAGCTTGAAATTTCTACTCTTACCTGTCAACAAGCTAGATGGGTTTTTTTTCCCCTTCTAATTGAGTGTCACTAAAAACAAGTTTATTTTGTTCTGTGAACATAGTTGGAAGTTTTTCTTTTGTGCTTCTCCTGATCCTGTTCCCATCTACTGATACGAGAAGTATGCACTCCACATAGTGTGCTCGTAGAGTGACATGAGAGAATTTAGCTACCTCATTACAGTGTTCGTATGTGGAGATACTAGTAAGTGTTTAAAGCTGTACTCTGAAAGCACACTGGGTCATGATATTTTTTCTAGATGTAATATTTATTGAATGGGGACTAGGATTTTCTACAGGTGTTTCTAGAGCTAGTGCTAGAAATCAGAGGAGGAGAAGATATTTCAAGGCATACCAGAACCTGCTGTAAAGAGTAGTTCTCTAGAGGTATGAGAAGGGTGATGATTGTTATTCAGATTAATGACCTTGTCACGTACTTTCAAAATTACTTTATTTAGAGTAATTATTGATAGCGGACCCAGTCCAGAAGTTGTTGCTTTGACTGAATAACTTTACTTTCAAATTCAGCAAAAAGCTGTGGTAAGCTCTTTCATATAAGTATTCCCATTTCTGCTGCACTCTTTACTGTTGAAGGTCGTAGTTCCTGCTCACAAGAAGCCTTTTAAGGGAAGCTGAAACAGCAGAATGCAAAACTGAAAAATGGAGATAGCCTGAAAGGGCATAGTCTGCGAGTTAGAATGAACAGTCTGTGCTCACAGTAAACAAATACTGTTAAATAAAAGAAAAGGCTCTTGTAAGTGTAGGCATTAAAATTGCTATGACATGCATTTAAAATCCAAGCACAAGTGAAAATACAATAATTTGTCTTTTAAGCAGCTAGAATCTATTGTATATCTTTAAGTCCTTGAAAGATTTCTCTTATGACTGTTTAGATGCTTTTGGGTAGGGTTTCCTTGCTTTCAGTGTTTATTTTACAATATAAATAGTACTTCAGGTATTGAAGATTGCTGTTTTTTATCTAAAATTTTTAATAGATAAGATAATAATAGCTCAAAGTAGCGAAATATCACTAATATTGCTTTAATAAATTATTTTAAAATACAGATGAAAAGATTTTACTTAGCAATTTAAAGACGGTGATTATTTAAAATGCACACTTTTCCAGAGGACTTTTAACTCTTTAGATATTATTTTGAGTAACAGTTTATATTTTTAATGTTCAGATCCAAATGCTTACGATGAGATTTTCTTTTTGTTTTAAATCTGAATTTTTGCACCTGTTGAAAATCGTTTTATAGGTTCATGAACCACATGAAACACCATTTGGAACTCGAAAAGCAGAGCAGCGAGAGCTGGGAAAACCACACCACCTGCCAGCATTGCTACCGCCAGTTCCCCACCCCCTTCCAGCTGCAGTGCCACATTGAAAGTACTCACACCCCCCATGAATTTTCTAGTATGTTACAATTTCATCTAAGTGTTGAGTGTTACTGATTTTGACAATAGAAGCTGTGTTCAAACCTTGCAAGTTCTGTTAGAAAAATAAGTATAAGAATTAGAATTTAGAGTCAAAATTGAAGTTAAATTTTAATAAATTTTTAAATAAAATTATTTACTAAAACCAAAGTCCTGCTTGCAAACGATTCCTTATGATAACTACCTTGGTGTAACCTGTACATTGTGTGGAATTAATTAGAAGGCTAAGATGATAGTTTTCAAACATGAAATTAGTGCCCTTCCCTTCAACTTTAATTAGAAAAGTAACTATAATTGTAATTAAAAATTACAGATTTTGGAGCTGGACACCTTGAGTTCAGAGTCTAGGTCTACCCCTCGTTATAGCTATACCAGTAAGTTACTTAGCTGCTTGAGTAAGAGGGTAAATGAAAGTGCCTTCCTCATAGTGCTGTCACACGAATTGAGTTAGTAGAAGTGAAGTGTTGGAACCGCTTGGTACTCAGTTAATGAACTATGTAACTGGTCACCAGTTCTGCTTCTGCCATTACTGACTGCTACTACTACTACTGTTACGTTGGTACTGATTTGTAAAATGAATGTTTAAATATTTATATATTAAAATGTTGTAATTCCATTTTCCCTCCAACTTTTAGCCATTTGTAAAATCTGTGAATTATCATTTGAAACAGAACATGTTCTTTTACAACATATGAAGGACAATCATAAACCCGGCGAGATGCCGTATATCTGCCAGGTACAACCACATTTTATTGTATTAAATGTTTGTTTTGTTTGTTGTTTTTATTATAAGATTTTACCCCTTTCAACCAGGATCAGCAAACTTTTTTCTGTAAAGGTCCGGATGGTAAACATGTCAGACTTTGAGGGTTTACTGTATCTGTTGCAGCCAGTGAGCTGTGCCACCACTGTAGCACAAAGGCAGCAATAGACAGTAAATTAAATAAACGGGTGTGTCTGTTTCCAGTAAAACTTTATGAGCACCAGAATTAGAATTTCATAAAATTTTCATGTCATGAAAAGTATCATTATTTTACTTTTTTAACCATTTAGATAAAATTGGTTACTAGAATTAAAGCCTGTCTTACAAATGAGCGATTGGTAGGAAGTCCTGTGATATGACTCATGCATCACTGGAGTTGATGACAGCAAACGGGGTAGGCCCAGAAGGTGCTGTTTGCTCACTGCTGGACTGTACGAAGTAGACACTCCTGGAGAAAGACAGGCGTCAGTCACACGAATGTATCTTACTGTGTAGGGAAGAGTGTGGGAACATGGTAGGAATACAGGTTGCTGTTGTAAAGAATCCCATTTAAATGCTTTGGGACTAATATTTTCTTGGAATGTGAAATAATAGGAAAGCAAGAGAAAGAGGAGTTGCCACTGTTGTAGGCTGGAAGCCATTAATAATCTAAAGGAGAAACATTTTATATGGTAAGAGGTGCCAGAGCATGAAAATTCAGTCAGAAACGGGGTGATAGGTAAGCTATCTGATAAAGAGAAGTGAACCTACTAATTTTCAGGAACCAGTCCTTACTTTTGAAAGATAACTTTCCTTCTCTTTTGGTGCTCGTCTTAGTGGGATTTTCGCTTTAATAGGTGTGGCCTAGTTTCTAAACAAACGATCCATTATTGTTACTTTGTAATTTCATATCTTTAGGTTTGTAATTATAGATCATCATCATTTTCTGATGTAGAAGCTCATTTTAGAAGATCCCATGAAAACACTAAGAACTTGCTGTGTCCATTTTGCCTCAAAGTTATTAAAATTGCAACACCCTATATGCATCATTATATGAAGCATCAGGTGAGATTTACTAATACTTGTTTGTGGTGTCTTAGCAAAAAGGTTGGTTATAACTCAGATCATTGATTAGATTTGTCCTGTAAGGGAAGCAGAGTTATTCCAAATTGTGTAATTAATTTACAGTTTATGCAGAATTACTTGTGAAACTTCCACTTTCCCTTACTTCCTTTCTGGTGATGATGTAGCCCATAAATAAAGTTCTGAAAGATAACTAGAAATAGGAAGCCTAGGATTGAGAGAAAAAAGAGGTGAGTGAAATGTATAAAAGATTGGATATTTTATGGCTTAAGAGTACGTATGAGAATGATTTTGAAAGGACTTACTAAGAGGAGAGTAAAAGATGAGTTTGAACTGTGAAAGAAATGATTGAAGATTCTTAATGTTTTCCTTTTTAACTTCACATTTTATCTCTACTTTCTAATCCTTTGTTAGTATTGTGAGATTTGTTGTCATTGTAGACCCAGTTTATAGTTGTGTATATAACCTTTGCCAGAGAACTAAATTTAGATCATCACTCATTTCTTGGATAGCTTCTGCTAGTTCTGCTATAGGTATTAGTGCTTGCATCCTTCTAAGAATTCTGTTATGCTTTTTTCCTGAAGCAATGAAACCATCCTTGTTTCAGCCAAAATGTTGATACAACACTAACCTTATTCTTGAGTGGTTGAAAGAATAATAGTGCTCTTGTCAAATTCAGAAGCCAATGGGTTTTCCGCATCTGTTTGTCTAATCAGATTTTGCCTGTTACCAAAAGCCTCGGTGCACTTTCTAATCAATTACTTTGGCACACCAGTTGACACACGAGTTTGTTCACCATGGGTATTCACTTTGCTGTCAGTTTTACTTGTTAGATAATCATGAAATCATTTTGTTGTTTTTAATTTGGAAAGATAAAAGCAGAATTTCCAAATGAATTAGGAATCATCTATGTTGTCACTAGGATATCATCTGTCCTTGGGAAATTCTGGCAAGATCTATTCTAGGGTCTCCCCAACAAGTTCCATCAGGTGTTAAAGGGACTTTGCCCCAAATTGTCTCCGGTTAATAAATTTGGTAAATGGCTTAGATATACAAAATTAAGCAATTTTGTCTGTTTTTAAAATGAGCCTTCTTGGAGCTTTTAATGCTAATGGACATTAATATGCTAATGGACATTATATATCTCCAAAATAGAGTATGTATCATTTCCCAAACTCATTTCACTACCAAACCCTTTATTTGAACAATGCCTATCAGCTGATTTTGTTTTCTTTTATTTATTGTCTGATAAACAGTTTGGGAAACACTATTCTTGATATTCTACATTTCATTTTTGGACTTTGAAAAGGAGATTGAGGTATAAAGTAGTGGCTATTTTATCGTGAAGCTTTGAAGTACTTTTCCCCAGATGCTTTACTAAGCTCTAGAATGAGTTATAGAAGTTGTGGGAATAATGTTGACTCTGATCAAGATACATGGGCCATGTAATTTATAATCAGATCTTCATATCCATAATTGTCTTGGGTGCTCAGTCTTTTTTTTTTGTTTGGTGTCCCTGGGAAGTAGAGGACCCCCAGTTAAAAGGGGTAATCTATGTATTAATGACAAGGACCATCAAACACCCTGCAGCATATTTATGTATCAGTTTGTATAACTATGAAAGGCTAGAAAATTACAGCTGAGCAGGATTATAAACTTGTAATAGAGATGACATTATTAGTGTAATATTAGCCAATAAGAATTGTTGATCCTGTCTTTATTGTTTGAAGATCTCTATTGTAACTTTTTTTTAAAAAAGTTTAAATGTTTGTATCCTGGTTGGCTTTAGAGCTAACAACCTAGTTTCCATAACTTTTAAGAAATAATGAACCTTCATTTTGGCCAGAACCACCATCCTCTAGTAATTTGCCAAAATGTCAAACACAAAAGGGGAAGAGGAGAAGAACCCCCCGAATATGTTCTCTAGGCCTTTTAGCAGACATGGGGTTGTTACCTTGGCCATATATATGTGAATCTGCCAAAAGGATGATACTGTAGGCATCAGTGGAACAGGTACTGTTCAAAAAGGAGTGCCATACAAATGTCACCACGGCAAACTGGAAGAGTCTACAGTGTTCCCCAGCATGCTGTTGACTTGTTGTAAGCAAGCAAGTGAAGGCAAGATTCTTGCCAAGAGAATTAATGTGCGTATTGATCATATTAAGCATTCTTAAGAGATGAGATAGCTTCCTGAAGTGCATCCCAGGAAATGTCAGAAGAAGGAAGCCAAAGAGAGGGTTGCTGGGTTCAACTGAAGCGCCAGCCTGTCCCATCCCGGGAAGCATACTTCTTGAGAACCGATGGGAAGGAGCCTGAGCTGCTGGAACCTGTTCCTGTGAATTCATGGCATAAGCTGGGGTTGTAACTCTGCCATTCAGCACCTAATTGTGGCCAGGTGTTTTCTAGGCACTGCTTAAAAATAAAGCATCCTGAATTGTAAGGATGGTTTTCTTAATTGAACAGGTGTGTGGTACCTTTACCTCAGAGAAACAAATACTTGGAGCAGGTTGTCACTGTACCTAGTTAGTTGTGTCAGGTCTTCATTCTTTAGTGTTTCTTGCTGAAAGATATGAAATATTGTGCAGGTATATACCTAAATGGCCAACTATTTATATAGTATTTATATTGGCTTGAAGAGCCTCTAAATCACCACAGGAAAAAGATGTATGACATTTCAGTTAAATAAATAAATAGTTTAAAGCAAAGAAAGAAAGAACTTTCTATGTTTTAAATAGATGTATTAGATCTTTAATAAAATAATAAGCAATTTATATATACTAATCACCTTATGGCAGCAGGTTGTTTAGTTCTGACATGCATTTTCTTGTTTCATCCTCACAACAGCCATAGTATGGTACTATTTTATAAATGAGGAAACAGCTTCAGAGGAAGTAACTTGCTTAATGTCACATTGTTTAATAAAAGACAGAGTCAAAATTTGACTTTAGAGCTCAAACTTTACTACTCTGGGACTGAATTAGATTTCACATTGGCATTAGATCCAGAGGTAGAAATTATATGTAGTAAGATTTGAACAATACAGTATGCTTATTAAGAAATACATTATAAGCCAAGTATGGTGGTACACATCTGTAGTCCCAGCCTCTGGGAACCTGAGGAAGGAGAATTGCAAGTTTGAGCTCAGCCTTTCCAACTTGGTGGCTTAGTGAGATGCTGTCTTACAAAAAAAGACTGGGATGTAGGTCAGTGTGATGGCCGTGGGTTCAGTCCCCAGTAATACACACACACACACACACACACACACACACACACACAACACACACACAACAAACAGTGTTTCTCTATATACTTGGAAAGGATTGCTGTTTCTTTGTTTTAAACATCATGTTACCAAAAAACTGTAGCATTGCATGTTCATCCTAACACAATGAAATGCATATACATACACATAAGAAAGATGGATAAGACTTGAGTCCAACTGAGGGAACAGTAAATTGGGATCTTCTCTTTTAAGGCTGTGAACAAATGTTCATTGAATGGAATGGCAGTCATTTTGAACATGCTTTCTGCCTCTCTGTTTATTTAACATTTACTTCTTTAGATTGCTTTACTACATGCCAGGGGCTGTGTTAGGTATTGTATAGCTATGAACAAGACAAAGTCTGTGCCTTTTAGAATTTGCGTTACAGTGTAGAAAGATAATGTGTGTGTATGTTTTTATGTTTGAATGTATATGTTGGTGAGAACTACGGTGGTGGAAAACGAACCCAGGAATGGGGAGGTGGTACGAATGCAGGAGTTTTTGCTTTTTTTCATACAGGATGGTCATAAAAGGGCCTATTTAAAGGAGTAGTAATGTGATATACAGTATAGGCAAAACAGTGAGTGTGTGTGTATATCTTTATATATGTTCAAAATATGTATTATATATGTATAGGCATATGTGTGTGTATATTTATGGGGTGCTCAAAGATAGACAAGGAAGTCAGTGTGGCTGAGAGGCTGAATAATAGGAGATGAGGCCGTAGCAGTAGCAGGCAGGGCAGTTTATTTGGAGCCTTGTAAGCCAGAGTCAGGACTTTGGGAAGCCACTGGCAGGTTTTAAAGGAAAGATCTGGCATATTTCAAGAATCACTGGCAGATATGGAAAGAATAGTGAAGAAAGGACATGAGAGGAAGAACGTAGAAGGCTTTTACCGTAGTCCAGATATTAGACCAGTAGGTAGCAGTGTTTGGAAATACTGACAAGTAGAAAGATGGGATACTTTTGCAGGTAGAACTGACAGGTTTTGTTAATGTGATCTATTCCTAAGCAGCTGTAGGAATAAAATTTCCATATTCTAAGCAATGAGAAAGCCTGAGGAAAGGACAGATTTGGAAGGTAGGAGCAAGGAGATAGTGAAGAAATCTGGAGTATGGTTTTGTCTATGTTGATTTGAGTGTCATGATTAGACATCAAGTAATAATGTCAAGTGGGCTGTTTGGTTCATGGTATTAAAGTCTTAGGACTGGATGAGGTAACCTAGGAAGTGTTAATGGAGAAACGCTTTCTGGGAACTAAACTGTGGTGAACTGTATTTCTGCCCTGTTGTTTTGGTATTTGTTTCTTAGCCAAAAAGAGATTTTTAGAGTAATGAGAGTATGTAAGCAAAGATTTCAGTTGATGTTATATACTAGAAGAACACTAGCTCAGTAGTGTGGCAGTGTTAACTATTTATGGCAAGGTGACATAGATTTTTCTTGGGTCTCCTTTCTTGCCTGTGGAATAGCAAGAGAACAAGGCTTTAGGAAAGGACGTGCCTTAGGAGTTCTTAGCCGGTGGGCAGATGGGGATCCGTTCTCTTCTATGCCTCCATATCCATACTGTCCATTGTAGTAGCCATTGCCACGTGGTGCTGTTTAAGTTTAAATTAAATAAAATTAAAAGTTTAGTTTTTCAGTTACACTTGCCACATTTTAAGTGCTCAGTAACCATCTCGATGTGAATCGTGGCTGCTCCCATGTTTGGCGGCGCAGCTCTAGACTATTTTGTCACTGCAGAAAGTTTTATTGGACAGTACTGCTTTCGATATAACCATTTCTAGCGTACAACCTCCTTTAAATATCTAGTTGAGATTTACATGGTTTTGTAGAATTTATTTTACTAACTTGTTAACCAATTGGAAATAGCAAAAACTAAGATAATTTATTTCTCTAATAGAACACTAGGTAGGCTTGTTTTCACAATATCATGTCTTTAAATGTTTCAGGTTTATAATTAGAAGATCTTTCACATCATAATTGGTAGAACTTTCATTAGAAATTGTTACTAGCACTTTCACATTTGATTGCTATGTAGTAACAAACACTTTCAAAGACCAAGTATTAATTAAGGTTTAAGAAATGAAATGATATTTTCATATTATTTATGCTAAGAAAGAGTAAACTACCGTTAAATTAAGTTAGAGCAATTTCAGGACACATGTATTTATGGTTATAGAAAATGTTTTTCCTCCTTTTTTCTGTTTCCACCAGAAAAAAGGAATACATCGCTGTACAAAATGCAGGTTGCAATTTTTGACATGCAAGGAAAAATTGGATCATAAGAGCCAGCATCATCGAACATTTGTAAAACCTAAACAACTAGAAGGGTTGCCTCCTGGAACAAAAGTGAGTTAAGATATGTTATACTTTAATATTTTACAGGATATAATAAAAATTAACTTCTGCCTGGTGTTACCTATTGAGTACAGTGGTACCTTGGCTCACGAATGCTTTTGTTTACAAACAGTTTGGTTTGCAGACAGAACCATTTGGCAAAACTTTGTTTTTGTTTGTGAACTCTGCATTGGGCATTGAATACAACTGCGACCATCTTTTCCAGAATTGTGGAACAAATTAAGTTTATGAACCAAGATGCCATTGTATAATATTTTTTAAGATGGCTTCTGTTTTTATTAAGATTAATTTTAAACTTTGTTATTCTTATGTATAGAAATGGAAAACTTCTGAACCGGGGATATAGCTCAGTGACACAAGTGCCTGCCTGCCAAGCACAAGGTCCTGAGTTTGATTCCCAGTACAAAAAAAAATGAGAGAAATGGAAAACTTCTAACCATTGTTTTGAGTTCAGTGGCAGGTGCTGTGTTAGCATGGTATTCCTTCATAATAAGTGCAACTAGAGTAGCTTTTCCCTGGGTTAGTGGGTTGCTTTTGGTATTATGTAGACTATTCCAGTTAGCAGCGTGTCTGTCAGTTACAGCAGCTAAACTATAAGGCGTTTGATATCTGGAATCATCTTGTTTATCTTTGTATTCCCATTATCTGCTATATGCCATGAATACCATAGGTTCTCAAATGTTTGTTGAAGTTGTTATTTTTGGTTCTACACTCAGAGAAGCAAGTTCTGCTGCTGGATAGCATTGTGTTTTTAAGTGAGCAAGCACATGTCTGACAACATACTGATGATTATAATTTACTTTTCCCTTTTTGCCTTATATACATCTGTTTTCTCTAACTTCTTTATATACAGTCAGCTCTTGAATATTTGCTCCAGTGGAGGGAAACAGAGGCATGGATAATCCAAAGTGAAATAATTCCCAAAACATTTATATTTGGCTTTGGGTACTTACCTTTGAATGTGGGTATGTCTGTTATTGAATTAACTAAAACAATATAAAGCCATGCTCTGAAGACCTAGAGCAAGAGAAGCTATCCAAGCATCCTTCCCTGCAGTCCATTCATTTCATGCTGGGACTAGACATGCAGAACACTAATGTAAGCAGTGCAGTCCTCTTCTCATTTCTTCCCTTAATAATAATAATATTAATGATAATGGTACTAAATGTTTGTATCGTACCTTAGAGTTAGCTTTCTGGTGTACTTTTTCATACATCCTGTTATTTAATCCATGCAATAACTAAGGATTCCCTCATATAATAGATTGGAAAAAGCTTAAAGGAGATAAGTTATTTATTTAAGGTCACATGCCTAAGAAGGGGTAGTATGAGATGTAACTACAGATCCTTTGATTCCTGGCATAGTGCTTTTGTATAACACTTAAACGCATGTATGTTGTAGGAGCTTGTTACATGCTGTTCCTCAAATACATGAAGAGAATATAGTCAAATGATTAATGAGAATGTTAGTAGGCAGTTGTGTTTCCTGTTGTCAACTAGCAGATACAGTTATTTTCTTTTTGAACTCTAAATAATAAACTTTGTATGAATTCCCTTTAAGAAAATGCTAAATATTAAACTCTACACAATATAATAAATTGATGTAACCTTTCTTAAAATATTTGTAAACATAAGTCTTGGTCAGTAAGTCCCAGAAACAAGAGATCACATTTTCTGTAGATCTTCGTTTTGTAGTTGTCAAAGGTAATGTGGGCCTTTCTAGTGTTATTTTTCAGGATTTATGATTTAAATTTTGAGCTCTGTGTTTATGAATTTTTAAAATTCTATCAGAGCATTAAAATAGCTATGAAATGTACACTTTTGCTATTCATAGGATTTGTATTAACTTCTAATTATCCATTAATAACTATGTTAACATAACTGGTATCAGTATAAAATGTAATATTACAAGTAAATATCAAGTTAAATTTCATTTAATTGTTTTGAACATTTAGTGCAAATAGAAGACTAAACCCAATTATAGCAAATCTGTGGTCTTTTCAAAATAGTTAATGTTTACTTTCTTCTGTACAGTGCTATTAATATTAATGGTTAATTTTTTAAAGTGAATATTCTCTTCACTTTTGTAGGTTACCATTCGAGCTTCAGTTGCACCTCTTCAGTCAGGATCTTCACCTACACCTTCTATTAGTGCAAGCACTTCTACCTTTCAGCTCTCACCTCCAAGGACAAAAAACTTAGCTGCAAAAAATCCCACAAAATTAAACTCAAGTAAACCCAGTGCACCCAAATCAAGTGCAAGTAAAACTAGTGGAAGTAAGCCAAATGGAAATAAACCTAAATACAAATCAAAAATCTCTAATGTGCAAAAGAAACAAAGTACGTTGGCTAATAGCAATAAAAAGAGTAAAGTGAATACAGCGCTGAGGAACTTAAGGTAAGGTTTTATCCCTGGACAATACCAGTTTAAACTTAACTTAGAACATTGCATTTTAGTTAAGAGAAATGATGCAGCTATCTCTTTTTTTTTTTGTTTTTTACAATGTATTTATATTATTTTATGTCTCCATTAAGGTGTCCTGGAGGTGTTTACAACTGCATTGAGTGTTGTTCTGAAATAAAAGATTTTGCAAACCATTTTCCTACCTACGTCCACTGTAGTTTTTGCAGATACAACACTAGCTGTAGCAAAGCCTATGTAAATCATATGATGAGGTAAGATGAGTTAAACCTATAAATTGGCAATTATAGTTCAGAAAGTGTTTTAAAAACAAAGTTATTTAATTAGAAGGTAGTTTTTCTCTTCAGGAGCTAAAAGAAGCCAGCAATAAGGAAATTCTAAGATATTGCCTCATACTATTTTCTAGCATAGTAAATCAAGATATTGTTGAACTAGTGCTATAATAAATTAATGAAATTAGGGTAGGTTTGTCAAGAAAATAGTGATTCAGTGGGATTCATTTTTCCCTGTAGGTGTCTTAAAAATAGTTATTTTCAAAAAATTTAAATGCTTTAAATGTATTTGCCAGATGAATAAATGTACTCCCATGAATGTTGTGCTTTCAGAGCAGTCACTTTGAGAGACTTCAGGACTTTCATTGATGTTAGGAACTTTATTGGGTCTGTTTCTTCTGTTTTTCCCCTGTAATATACTGGTCTGTCCACACAGCCAGCCAGCCAGCCAGCCCTATCTCTACTCATATCCATTTAGTGAAAATGAGAGACTACTCTGGTCATGAAGCCCTATTGGAATTCTTTTTCATTCATTCATTCAATTTAGTTTGAGTACCTATCATTTATGCTGTGCTGAGGAAACCCTTCAGCGCTCCAGAGTAGCTTTCATTCATATTTTATTACAAAGAGAATATTTTTATTCCTTCAGGATGGATTTTTAAAAATCGTTCAGATACAGACTTTTTAAAGACAGGGTCTTGCTATGTTGTTCAGGTTGGCCTTGGATTTACTGGGTAGCCCCGGCTGGCCTTGAACTCACAGTGATCCTCCTGACTCAGCCTCCCAACTGCTGGGATTAGAGGTGTACACCATCATGCCTGGCTCAGATATAAACTTAATATGTTGCTTATTTAATGTGAGCATTAAAATTAGAATTTATCTATAATGCTTTCCTTACAGACCTTTTCAGAATTATTATTTGTTTTTAGAATGAGGGAGATTTTTCCTTATTGTGTTTTTTCCTTATTTCTTGCCAATATCTATAAAAAGTATTACCAGCTTATATTTATTTTTTTACCTTTTGTGTATCATCCCATCTATATAAAACAATACTGTCCCCTTAAAGATTTTCTACCATGGACTTACCACGTTTGTTTGCTTTTTGTCATTCTCATTCCTCCTCCTGAAAATGTTTGGCCTTGTTGTCACTCACTTTTGAAGCTCTTCCTTTAGCCTCTATTACACTTTTCCTAGCACCTTTTCCTGTTTGGTTGCTCCTCTGTTTCATTGCTGTGTCTTCCTTAACTTTATACATTCCCTTTCTTAGAAATTTATCTACTCACTTTTTGCTTTCAACTTTAAATTATTTTTCTATCCTTAGTTTTCCTGAGATTCAGCTCTGTTTCTGTTTCGTAGATTATTTTACCTCAGATTCACTGCCACCTCTGAAAGAACAGAAAAAAACCCACATATTACGTCACCTGTCCAGGATTCACATGACTGCCATGTTTTAAGCACCGTGTCTTTCAAGGACATCGTTTGTGTGACTGTTGCGTACCAGCTGGAAGAGATTTACTCTTCCAGGTTTCTGAAGCTCATGGAGTTCTTTGTGATCCATTGCACACCATGACTTCTGAGCCTGAGCCTGCCTCCCCGCTGCTGCAGTGTCACATATCCATATCCTGGTTGCTGCCAGGCAGGCCCTTCTTCCCTAGTGTATTACTTTTCCCTAGTGTATTATTGGGTGAAATGCTGGTCTTTTATGATAAATTTATAGCTACTCAATGCATTCTTTAATTCTGCCCTAATTCATAGTGGAACAAATTGGAAAATGTTTTGTTTCTTAAACCCGGGCCAATTTTACCTTTCCTCCTCCCATTTATTGCACTCCTCTTACCTGTCCTGTAGACCCTCCTAATCCACTTAATCTCAAAACATTCCCAGTCAGCCCGGGTGCTCTCCTTACCCTTTTCCAAATTGCTAGTGAGCCTCAACCCTGTACTTACTGTCTTCCCACACAGCTCATGCTCATTTAGCCTCAGGTGGAACTGATGCTTTCATTGCCACTTTGACAGGGTTTGCTGGGTATGTTTGCCTTTTTCTCTACTTCAGTGGTACTCATGCCTTCCTTACTATCTTAGAGTTGTATCTCCCACTGAATGGCATGCCCTTACTCAGTGCAGAGATTATTCTAGACTTGAGGTCTGTATGTGGAAAAGATTCATGTTCTCCAGAGGAGTACCTTTGATTCTTCCCCCATAACATGTCACTTCTGAAGCTTCTCAGTTGATCTTTTTCCCTCTGGTCTCATACCTCCCCCAGTCCATTTTATAAGTCCCATTCTCACACATTGATTGTCTCTGAAGTATGCTTCTGCTCATACCACTTTACCTCTCAGTTTACCTTCTTTAAAGTATTTGGTTGCCGCAAGCATTCCTTTCTTTGAATCGTGTGCCATTCAACTACTCTACCTGTTATTGTAGTATTTGTATGTTATTTCCCTGGGAAGCTGTTTGTAGTTTTTATATCACCTAGCATGTTACAAACTGCAGGTGACAGTCATTACTCTTGTAATTTAGGAGGCCCTAAATACAATCTCAAAAAATTATTTAAAATATTTTGAAGCAGTTGGAGCATTGTGGAAGTAAGACTTTCAAGGAAAACCATCATTAAATTTGTAATTTAAGTGATACATTTTTTTTTAAAGTGGCATTATTTAAGGGGTCACCTGTTTAAATTATTACACCTTATTTACTTATAGCTTCTAAGTCGTACTATAGTAGGAATCATTTGAAACATACAAACGTATTATTGTATAATATTATTGTTATTCCTCAAAAAAGATGTGTAAGAAGGCTTTTTATTTCTCCCTACATGCAAGATAGTAGAATAAGTTAATGGGGATTACTGATGGCTCTTATTTTATATCAGAGTTCATTTCGGCTACTTTGCTTTCAATGAATACTTGCTATGTACTTACTAGGAAGGTACGGTTTACTATGAAGAAGTATGATAAATTGGTAGTAATAAATCATATGTTAGGGGTAAAATCCATGACTTTAATTCCCGCACTTTAGTAGGGGAGATATTGCTCAGATTAATGTGATAAACAACAGTGATAGCACAGAGGAATGAGGATGAATTCTTTAAGACTTTATAAGCGACATTTCACTGAGCCTTTGAAGGATGGTTTTTTAAAATTTCCAAGGGAAAAGAAAACTGGCATAAAAATTTGTTCTTGTACAATAGATAAGACAGAGGACTGAATTTTTAAAAGATCCACTTGAGCTCATTGTACATATTACATAAATTTATTGGTATTATAGCACTAGAAGAACAGTTGTGATTGCATTGTAATTGTTGCTCTGCCTACAGTTTTCCTTTCCTTCTGCTCGAGTAGGCATATCTGGTCAGGTTGGTTTGTTTTGTTTTGTTTTGTTTTGTTTTGGCTTAAAATCCTTTTGCTTCCTAATATTGATAGGATAAACTTTCTGAAGAACAAGAGACATTTCAGTGTCCAATTTTTAACTTGTTTTCAGCTCCTTCAGTTTTTTTTATTTTCTTGAAAATCCCTCCATATCTTCACAGTTGCTCTGTGCTCTGCCTTGACTTCAGCCAAAGAAAAAGTGGTTTTCTTTAACTTAAAAAGCTTTAATACATGCTAACGGAATTCACTGTGCTATTTCTGTGCGTGCATATAGTCTGTATTGATCATACCCATCCACCCTTCTTAACTGAATTGAACTGATGGTTAGTTGGCTTCTTCCCCATCAGCCTTTTACTTTTCCTTCAGAGTAACCACTGAGCTCTGTGTGTGTCACTGTTGACTTCTGTTTTACATTATTTATGAATATGTATTCATTCATTTTACAAATTCTTTGGCCATTTATTCTTGCCAGCCACTGTCCATCTCCCTCATTCCCTTATCCCTAACCATGAACTCTGGGGCAGGCAACTTGCATTCTTTGCTAATATATCATGAACTTCTAGTCTAGTGTCTTAGATAGTAGGCACCATCAACATTGTTAGACGGTAAAGAAAAGTTTTTTGTGTGTTTTTTAGAAAGTAAAGTCATTACTTGCATGGAATCAAGATTATTAAGAAAACAGGGTCGAAGGGTTCTGGGTTGGTTTTGTTTTTTTGGTTTTTTTTTTTTGAGATACGATTTACTCATAATTCACCTACCATATTTCCCTGAAAATAAGACTAGGTTTTATATTAATTTTCCTCCAGAAGATGCACCTGGCCTTATTTTCACTTGGGATGTCTTGTTTTTTATGTACAACAATCTACATTATTTATCTACAGAAATCTGTATTTGTATACAAAATCTATATTTATTCAAATTCAGTCATGTCATCTTCTAGAACTTCATCATAACTTGCCAGATCCCAAATTCTGGGCTGAATTTCTTGCATCTGCAGTCTTTCATGTCCAGCAGTAGTGCTTCCCTTAAACGAGCACTTCTTGTCCTCATATCCTGCTCATCATACATGGGTAACACAGCTGTCAGTGCTTTTATCCCATGAATTCTTCACCTAAATCTCCACCTCTTCCAGGCTGGGCTTCCCAAAATTTCATTAAATCAGATGCTAATTTTGAAGACCTAAGAAATACCAGCAAAAATGATGACATTTAAGAATGATGGTCCACAAAAAAGTGACCAAAAATTGCTGGCACCACAATGTAGAGAAGGTTTATTTTACATGAGTGCATTAAGTATGTCTGTTACAACACACAGCATGTTGAATTCCAGAGATTCATATTATTAGACGCAGCTGTGTCTTCATTATTGCACATGCACATTATTTGTGCATTAAGTCTGCACTCTAGGTGGTCATTGGGCAGGAAGTCTCAAGTTCTTCTGTTTACATAAGCGTTTAACTCTCCTTCAAAGGCACCCACTTCATTATTGACAACTACTTTATTATAATTCATATTATTAAGTATTAATGTCAATAATATTTATATTTGATTACATAGTAATATTATTTCAATATTCAATATATCATTGTGTGTTGCAGCAATATATACTAAATGTGTCCATCCGGCTGAGGATCTTAACTGGGGCTTACTTTGGGGGTAGAATTTATGTTACTGAGAAATCATGCTAGGTCTTATTTTGTAGTTAGGTCTTTTTTTTGGAGAAATAAGCATTTATAGCAAATTGCTTAATGGGTTTTGATAATTTTGTATAGTTTTGTAACTAGGTGGCAAATTTTAAATTTTTTAAAACAAATTTTAAATTTTAAATTTTTTAAAACAAATTTTAAAGTGACAAAGTTTTTTTGGAGAAGTAAAAGTAAACCCTAAGAGTGAGAGAGATACTGGTTTTGCAGAGCACAGTTGGGCTGAATAATAGAAAAAAGCAAGATAAAAGTACACTTTGGAGACATAGGGTGTGCTATCGTGAGGACAACCACAATGACCAGGAGGCAGACTTTTTAACCCTAAGTCATAACGTTATGTTTTTGCCATATTCTAACCCAGAGCTTTTTCTTTTAAGTTCATTTTTGAATTGCTGTAACCTTTGTAGAGCTGTAATAGAAAGAAGGGTAGGGTTTTTTTTTTCTTTTTGTGAACTGTCGATTACTTTTATATTCTTATAATACACAAAATCAAAGTGTGCAATTTGTGTACTCAATGTAGATAAAATCTCTCCTCTTATGAATGGGTAGATAAACTATACTTACTTAAAGAGGAAGAGCTTTTAAATCTCATTTTGAAAAGTAACTTATTTTGGTTCACATTTTTAAAGAATCAGGCAAAATCCTGCACTCATTCTTCTGAGGAAACAATTGTAGATGCACATTTATTATATAATTTGAAGGGTTCACAAGATCTTTGTGATCTCTTCTTAAAAAAAGAACTTTAATTTTGTGATACTGTCTTAATTTCTAAACTCTCTAATAGCAGTTACCTCCAGATTGAAAAAAAATGACTATTTGGAAAACTTTGAGGTGTTTTCTGGGAGTTATAGCTGGAATGTTTCTTTTCCTATAAACAGAGGCTGTGGCTACTGGTTCTCAAACTTGAACTTGTGTAAGAATCATTGAAATCCTGGGCATGTAGCTCAGTGGTAAAGCACTTGCCCAGCACTCCAGAGGCCCTGGTTTAACTCTGTAGCACTGGGCTGGGTGGGGTTGATGTCAGTGGAAAAGCCTGTTAAAGCAGACTCTTGGGCACAACTTTCTCTCTAATCCTGTCATTCTAATACTGGAAGCTTTCTTAGAGTTAAAAAACTGCCTAAGAGCTACTACTACTGGCTGCAGAGTTTGGTTAGTTTCTGGTCTGTGCTCAGGGCAAGCATTTGTTCTAACTCTAGAGTTACAGTTTGGTTTTTAACCTCTGTTAGTAATTGCAGAGAACCCTCTACATGTTTGATGTACAGATGGCAAACAACAGCATTTAGCCCAAGTAGTGTCACTTTCTAGATTCTATTTTTCTCCCTCTACACAAATACATTAAGATTGGACAGTGATTTTAAAAATTAGCATTCAAATTATAGTATACTAGATTGTTAGCAAAAATTTAGTATTGTTTTTAATACTTAATAGATGAAAAGTTTAATTTGCTATTTACTTTTTTAACTCTGAGCATTTCCTTTTTTATATAGTAATGACTAATCATCTAAAATAAGGAATATATGTCATTAGAATATAAAAACTTAAAGTTGAATGTAAGATAAAAATGTTAAAGACAAGCAATTCAGTATTTACATCATGATCTTTTGTTAAAAATTAGATACTTAATTGTAGACTCGAAATATAAGTTAATACGACATTGTATAGCAAAATTATTAAAGTCTCTTTTGTCTCTCTAGCTTTCATAGTAACCGTCCAAGTAAAAGATTCTGTATATTTAAGAAGCATTCAGAAGATCTCAGGTAACTAATCAAGTTTTTTAATTCTTTCTGTTGAACAATGGCTATAATTTAAATTTTTTCTTGCACATAACATTATTGAGGTATAATTTCACGCACTTAACAATTAATGCATTGTTTTGACATGTCCAGAGTTGTGCAGCACTCACCGCCGTTCATTTTACAATTTTATCGCTCCTAAGAGAAACTCTGAACCCGTTCATTAGTGGTCACCCTCATGTCTCCCCAGCTCCCCTCATCTCTGTGCAACCGTGAACCTACTTTATATTGTGTAGATCCATTCTGGATATTTTATATAATGCAGTGACACACAGTGTGATTCTTTGTGACTGCCTGTCAAGTTTTATGCACGTTGTAGCATGTACTTCATTTTTTCAGATTGCTAAATAATATTCCATTTTATGGATGTACCCCCTCTTAGTAAAGTTTATCCATTTGGGTCATCTTCATTTTGAGACCGTTATAAATAATGCTGCAATGAACATTTGTCTACAAGTTTTTGTATAGACATGCCCTTTTATTTCTCTGTAGTATATACTTAGGATTGGACTTGCTGGGTAATACGGTAACTCTGTGTTAAGGCTTTGAAGAATGGTTAGAATGTTTTCCAGAATAACACCACTGTTTCACATTCCCACCAGCATTTATGAGGATTCCAGGTTCTGCACATCTTTTCCAGTACTTGTTTTATCTTTTTTGCCATCCTAGCAGGTTTAAAGTGGCATATAACTGTTGTTTGCTATAACCTTTTGATTAACCTGATGTCTTACTTTTTTCATTGCGGGGACAAAATACCCAGCATCTACAAATTAAGGGAGAAAAGGTTTATTTAGCTCAGTATAGGTTTTAGTCTGTAGTTGGCTGGGTCCAAGGCAGATTGGCATTGCACAGGGGCTTCACAGGGCAGATACAGTCCATGGCATGGCAGGAGGCAGCAGCAGCAAGTAGCAGCAGAAGCAGCAAGCCTGCCTTCTTTCTGTCTCTTTATAGTCCATCTAGGCTACACACCTATTGATTGGTAACACCCACACCCTTAACCCCAGTATCACACCCATCCACATTCACACACTCTAATTCAGCCAACTTTGAAACTCCCCAGCTGTGACTGCGTGAGGCTTTGGTGAGACATCTAGATACAAGCCATAACACCTGATGTTGGTGCCAGTTTGTAAATCATTTTTTTTGTTTTGTTTTGTTGTTTTTTTGGTTTTTTTTTCCAGTACTGGGAACCAAACTCACGACCTTGCACTTGCCAGGCAGGCACTGTGCCACTGAGCTAAATCCCCAGCCCTTCCAGTTTGGAAATCTAAGTGACTGTTACTAGATGTTATGGAGTTCTGTTTATTATATCATTAGACCAATCTATTCATTGTGTCATTAAGTCTCTTGGTGACAAGTGATGTCACTATGAAACATGAGTTTGTATTGTTAAGTGAAAACAAAAATAAGACTCACCAACAATATTTGAATTTAAAAAGATATGTAACATATCTAGTAAAGTGACTAACACTTTTTCAAGTTGAAGTAAATTCATTGAACTACCAGAATTCTTAAAATCCATATATATGGGGGGTGGTGGAGAGGGAGAGAGAGTCTTCATATTTCTTTTTTATATAAAGTGAAATGTACAACTTAACTACTATATATAAAGAACTATTGATAAATATTTTTAAATACCATAATCAGCTTTTGTTATCTCACATACTTAGAACTTATTGAACATCATTTTTTCATGTACTTCAGATTTCACTGGACTCATTTATTCCATGTTTTCATTCTGTTTGAAATATCAGTGTCTTTATTCTACCAAGCTAATTTATTGAACTACGTTTAGATAATACTTATTTAGATGCTGTAAGTTAATGGAAAAGGTAAAAGAAATGATGCTATGTTTTAAGACCTTTGCATTTATTATCTCCCATGCTTAGTTTGTTCTTCCTCAGATATTATATATCTTTATTTTCATTCTGATGAGTGAACCTTTTCTTGAGTGCTGTATTTAAAATTTCACCCCTTCCCCTGTGCTTTGTTCTAGCAATCCTTTTTACTGGGAATCGAACTTAGGACATTGTGCTTGCCAGGCAGGCACTTCCACTACTGAGCTATATTCCTGGCTCCTACCTTCTTTTTATGCTTTATTTTTCTCTAGTTCATATGAGATACTATATATTTTATTTCTTTATTTATTGTCTGTGTTCTCCCAGCATTGTATATGGTTGGGATTTATGCCTGGCATGTAGAAGATACTCAGTAAATCTTTGTTGACTGAGTTAATATATATGGTGAAAATTATGCCGGTGGACAGTAGGCCCCATTTATGTTTGACCAATAGCTCATAGGAAAACAAAAATTGATTCAGTTTAAAAACATATTACTACTATTAAAGTGCTTATTGAATCTAATAAAATAGATTAAACTATATTAGAGTTGTCTTTTTGAAAACTTTTATAGGAAAATAAAGGATTTTATTGTATTCTAAAAATCAGATTTTGATTTTTACCTCACTGTTACCAAGCTTGATTGTGTGATTTTTTTTTTTTTTTTTTTTGAAATGGACTTAAATGAACTATGTGATTTTAAAGAGCTGGGATGTTGTTTTTTTCAACTTGGTTGGGTCTCGGTTAGGTCTCAACAATAATTGGTTGTTTTCTGTGAATGGAAATTAACATATTTAATCTTACAATTTTATGTATGTGAAACTTTGTAATTGCTCTTATTGAAATTTAATACTCACTTTAAGCTATTTATTGTACATTTGTCCTGTACATAGTGTAGCAGGTGCTGTGTAAATGAGAGTGGTGAAGCCATCTTGAAACCAGCTTCAGGGAGTATACAGTTTATTAGGTGAGAGAGAAAGTGTGACCCTAACAAACGGATTTTACTAAGTGCAACTAGTTACTTCAGAGGAGAGCTCACTTATTTGGAATTACTGTATAGATAGAGGTTAAGGAGTTTGGATTTAATTCAAGGTATGGGAGAACCATTTGTGTTTTATATAGAATCAAGTTATATTGAAACAAGGTTGAAGTCAAAGGTTTGAGCTCTGGAATCAGCATACTCAACTTTAAACCCGATTCTGATCTTTATCAGCTGATTCTATGTCCTTGGTAAGTTACTAAGCCAACTCTTACCTGTAAGAAGGTGATAGTTATAGCACCTACCTCTTCACGTTTTTGTAAGCCTTAGATGAGATATGACACAGAGGAAGCACTTAATAAATTGATAATATAAAATGCTTGACATATTAAATATTTTAAGGAAAAAGAGAGTTAGATAACTATACTTGTGTTTTTTTGTTTTTTTTTTTTTTGTACCAGGAATTGAACTCATGACCTCAGGCTTGCCAAGCAGGTGCTTATGCCACTGAGCTATATGCCCGGCCCCAGATAACTATAGTTTGAACTTTAATTTCAAGTGAAATAATATCATAAGACAGACCAGTCAGGAAGAGTTGATTTGGAGAGAAGTATTTTTTTTTTTTTTTTTTTGGTTTTTCTCCGGTACCAGGAACCGAACTCAAGACCTTGCGCTTGCCAGGCAGGCGCTTTTGCCGCTGAACTAAATCCCCAGCCCCAGGAAGAGTTGATTTGGGGAGAAAGTCTAAGGTTTTACTTTCAATACACCAGAGTAACCTGTTGGTGTAAATGTACAGCATCCTCTTAGGAGAAATTAGTCGGAGCTATCCCGTTTGTATTCATGAATTGATAAAGTACGTACTTTCATTTATAGTCTTCAGTGAAATTCAGGTGTATGTGCTTGGTTATTACACTGACAATGACAGTGATTGCTTTGCATGATTTTTTTTTTTAATCTAAGCAAAAATGATTCAGTAGAGCCTTAATCTTAAGGACTTCGAAGCGGAGTTGCTAGAGCCAGAACAAATAAAAGAAATAGAAAGTAATCAGGAATTAACTTGTGTTCTCTCTAGTTTGACTCACTGAGGCAGCATATTGTCTTATTTTCTCTGGACTTAGATTCCTTTTTCCTTTCTCTCACAGACCAGCTTTATCTGTTAAATACCTAAATATAATGTTCCCACCCACGTTTTCCCAAATTTAAAAAAAAAATCTATCGATTCCAGTTAAATGTACCTGTTTAGAGACACTTTGAGTTACACATTCCATTCTTTGTCCAATTAACTGTGTCCAGTGGAAAAGACACACAGTTTACTATTTATCAGTGAAACTGTTTTACGCCTGTAAATATAATGCCTTAAATGTATAGGAACTTTTCTAAGTTCCCTGAAATTTTTTATTATTTTACAGGCTTCATATTTAAAAATATCTTTCAACTAAGAATCACAGGTCTAAATACATTTTAAATTAGACTGTTAAGGCTGGTGACATATGCTTTAATATGCCAGTTACTACTTTTTTTCCAATAGCAAATGCTATACAGTTAGTTCATTTAGTTTGGTTCAGTTATACAAAAACTTAGGTGGACCTAACCAAATTTTTGATAGTTGTGAGAATTGTCTCTTAAACATTATGTATTTCATTTAAGAATTACAACTCTAAAGTTTCGTTTAAGGGACTGAGTAGTTTAGGGCCAGTAAATAGGTTAGTTCATAATACTTAGAGATGATAAGGAACTCAAAACTTGTAAACTCCAATATTTAATAATTACTTAAATTAATTTACTGTTTACCAGGGAGATAGCTCAGTGTCACAGTGCCTGCTTGGCAGGTGCAAGGTCCTGAGTTCGATTCCTGGTACCAAAAAACAAACAAAAAAAATGTTAAATGACAGTAGTAACAACCTTAGATGATATGGTGACAACCTTGCAGTTGATGCAGCTGCAATTGTAGTATGCAACTGATGGCAGCTGTCACGTGATCTATTTTTAAAATGTTTATGTTTCTCTTTAACTGTATCCTTGACAAAAAAAAAAAACTTGAAAATTTTATTAGAGTATGGTTGTACTTTTGTTCACAATTATATTCATAGTATAGTATAGAGAGAGACAGACTAGGTAAATATATATTGAGTGAATTAATACTATAGCCACCCCCTCATTTTTCGTTTTTTTTGAGACAGGATCTCACTATGTAGTTCAGGCTGGCCTTGAACTCACTGTGTAGTCCAGGCTGACCTCATACTCATGGTGATCCTTCTGTCTCAGCCTCCAAAGTGCTGGGATGATAGGCATGCGCCACCATGCCCAGCTATATCTTCACTTTGCCGATGGTATGAGGAACAAATAGTATGTGACTTGACTGTGTCAGTGCAAGATACTAGTGTAGCTAAGACTAGGTTAGGTCTTTGACTTCTGGCTTATTGCAATTGGAGTGAGAGGCAAGTATTTATTAAAACATAAATACTTCCATAGACACTGTAAAGGGTACCATTTGTGTATGAGTGTTTTGTCTTTCTAGATCAGCATTTCAGTTATATCAAGTTTGTATGACAAAGCAAGTTGCAGTTACGACAAAAATAAAATCATGGAAAAATAATCATTGAGGTTGTGTATGGATTTCGTAAAAGACTAAAAAACCTTTTCTCTTATGCTATTTTTGTTTTTATTAGGGGCATTACTCTAGTGTGCCTTAATTGTGATTTCCTAGCTGATGTTTCTGGATTAGATAATATGGCTACACACTTAAGTCAACATGAAACTCACGTATGCCACATTGTCACAGAGAAAGGTAAGTATGTATAACTGTACTATTTTGGAGTTTCAATATTTATTCCATTATTTTGGTCAGCCACAATATGGGCTCTTTAAATCACTAAATCATTTTTCTCACTCATCATAGTTCATATGCTCTTGTAAATATAAAACTTTTCTTCTAATTTCAGTTTCTGTTTGTATCCCAACTTCTGAACATCTTTCTGAGTAAGTTTAATTTTTATTCAGTGCATTTACTTTGATGGATTTTAGCACTATTGCATTGTAAGTGTATCATTGGAGGAATGAAAATATTAAAGTATTTCGGTGTTTTTTTTCTTTTTTCTTTCTTTCTTTTTTAAAGATGCTTGTTGAAATAGGTTCCTGCTCTATGGAGCTCGTGACCTGGTACAAGACAAGTTGGCATTTCCTAAGCTCAAAGTTCTGGGATATTTTCTTACACAAAGGCAGTTAGGCAGCCAAGTTCATGACACTAGCTCTCATGATTCAGCTCTTTCATCTTCAGATAGGTCTAGATTCCTATCCACCTTCTCATTCTGCCAGGGTGACACATCCTAACGTACCTTTTTTTTTCTCTAGTTGGCTCTAGAAATAACTTTTGTTGCTGTGGTCCTTTCTTGCTTTGCTTAAAATAATTCGTGTTTTTCTTTGCATTTGCCTTGAGAGTATTGCATTCCAAACGATAAGGCTTTTTTTCTTGGTCTTTTTTTTTTTTTCCTCTTCTGTCTGCTTTCATTTCTTATGTCTTAAATTTTTAGGTCAGATGATTTGTCTTTCCTTATTTGTTGTCTGTCATTGTGCTATTTTTCTTTCTTTCTTTTTTTTTTTTTCAGATGCAGAAGCAGCCCAGAGATTTCAAAAAAATGTCCAGGGTACACCTGTACAGTGTCCCCCTTCGATGGACACAACTGATGCTTATTCTCTCTTTCCAAGGAATGTGAATAATGTGACTGTGGGATCTGCTCTCAGTTGTGGCCGCAATAAATCACATCTTGGGGAGACCCCTTTCCCACATGGCTGGCCTTCCGTAAGGCTGCTGCTGATTTGGCCAGAGTGGCCTCCTGGCCCACCACATTGAGCACATTTCCCACTGGCTTTGGCTCTTGATCTTAAGCTTATGGGCCAGTTATGTCCAGGAAAAGCTCATCAGATCAATTGGCTGCTGTCCTTAAATCTTCCTCTAGCATAAATGCCTTCCAAGAAATACAAAAACTGGTTGTTAGGAAGTTGATGGCTACTTTCATATCCTTGGAGCAACAGATCTCTATAATTATGTCCCAAAATTACAGTTGTTTTTACTGTTACTTAAAATATATTACTCAATATTAACTATAATTTTTGCAGTGATGATAATTCTCAGATTTTTTTACTTTAAAAAATTTAACTTAATAGCTTGGTTTTCTGTTCTCCAAATTTATTGATGTCTATTTTATGATGTCTACATTTCTATTCCTTAAAACTTGTTTACTATTTGTTTTATAAAGAACTCCAAGAGAGTCCTGTGAATTCTCTGCTCATGAGTTGCCTGTTTGTTTTAATTTGACTATTGCTCAGACCCTTAGACCATTCTTATATCCTCTGTCCTGTTTCAGGATTGTTAATACTATGTTAATAATTATAGGTTTTAAAATTTAAAGAATCAGTGAGACTCCTCCTTACACATCTTAAAAACAAGTTTTAAAGTAACATATTTGTATATCTATGTAATTTCTACTTAGTCATTAATGTAGTTCTTTTGGGTAAAGGTAACAAATATATATGGGTAAAGTTCTTTTGGGTAAAGGTAATTAAATATATATGGTAACCAACAGTACTCCTGTTTCTTTCCTATATACATTTAAATTTTGTCCTTTGTTTATATTAGTTATGTTAAATATAGACTTATTAAATAGTTTTGATACTGTCATTTTCTTTTAATAAAAATTGTGATGTTTAAGTGTCTCAGGAATTATTTGCTAATGAATAATTTCATATAGAAGCTGTAAATTTTATCTTGTAAGTAGGACCATTGCTTTGTCATATGGAGGCCTTGTTAGCATGCAGACTGAGAGCTATACCTACTCAACACATTCATGACAGGGCTCTGATTTGAATGTTATGTCCCCACCAGCTTGAACCACCAGTGGTATATGCATAATTGTCCCATAAGGCAGCATGGGACAGTCCTCTCGGTGGTACAGTGAAGTATGTACCACTGGTAGTTCAAGCCAGCGGGTATATATTAATGCATCTTATATTTTTTCCTGTAGCACAATTACTTCTTGAATTTTAAAGACTAGCAAAGTGCCCTTTGCTCTTATTAGCCATAAATATCAGCAGGCACTGAATTTGTAACTCAAGCATTTTTCTTCTCTAAAATCAGAACTTCATTTGTACTTTGGAGCAGAGATAAAGCTAGTTTGGCTGGACGTGGTAGCACACATCTATAATCCCAGCACTCAGAGGGCTGAGGCAGTAGGATCACAGCAAGTTCTGGGCCAGCCTGGACTATATAGTGAGTTCAGGGCAACATGAGCTACACAATGAGACCCTGTCTCAAAAAAAAGGTCATTTAGATACCACTTACTGTGTGTTCCTTGCAATTAATAATATTAGAAAGTTAAATCCATTAGTTTTGAGTTTCTAAACAAATGTATACATACTGTACATGACAGATATTCCAAAATATTCAGAAGTGGTTTTTTGTAGTGGTAATAGACTAGGATTTTTGTCATATGCCCTGTATCTACCCAATTAAAAATTTTTCCCTGAGAAATATAGCAGCTTCATTCCATTTTTAACATTCTCTGTTCCTCTACAGAACAGAGAAGTGTGGTCTTTATTAGGTGTAGGTCAAAAGTGATGATGCACCATGTTCCTGGTATAGCAATGGTCACACCTCTTTGTGTTCTTCCACAGAATTCTTTTGCGTATATCAAGTTCATTTATGTCACTTGTAACTTCATTTAAAGAAATGTTTTAAATAAGGCAGGACAAATCTTGCTTACCATAGGCAGTTATTTAAAATTGTTTGGTACTAAATAGTTTTCCCTTGTATTTGATTCTTTACCATCAAATTATTCTAAATACTGTTATTACCTAATCAGAAGTAGCTATTTCTTGGATTTATAGTTTTGGGTACCATTGAATGAAAGATGTAATTGTTCCAGTTTGAGTCCATCTCCATTGTGAGAAAAATGACTGAAACGGTAATGATTCGGGTTCTTGCCTTATTCTTGTGGCATTTTGGCAAAAAACTCTCACCTCTGTACTTTATTCTTCAAACATCTGCTTTGTGCATGGCACTGTTCTAATAGAAAAACAAATTGAAATTTCTGCCCTCATGTAGCTTACACCTTGTCATAAAAGACAAAATGAAAAGTAAATAGAACATATATCCCAAAGTGATCAACACTGTAAAGGAAATGGAAATAAGAAGGGGAATGAAGAAGTATGCAGCGGGAATTGAGAGGCTATTTTAAATTTGGTGAATGGGGAAGACCGCGCTGAGAAGTGGCATTTGAGTAAAGGCATGAAGGTGAACAAATGAGCTGCTTGGCTGCATGTTAGATCTTGGATTCGAGGAATTGCAGGGAGACCATTTGGCTGTCATGGAGGGGACAGGCCTGTGAGCAGTGCGGACCTGTGAGGCGTAAGACCTTAGAGACCACTGCAAGAAAGGTGGCTATTAGGTGAGCATGGTGGTACATACCTGTAGTCCCAGCACAGCGAGGGGACAGGGGTGGTCTTTTAGACTGTGTTTAAACCTAGGTGTTTTGTTGCATGCCTGTATTGCCAATACTCAGAAGGCTGATACAGGAGGATTGATTGAGAGTCCAGCCTGAATGCCTGAACTATAGGCCCTGTCTCAAAAAAACAAAAAAAAAGTGACTGTTTAGAGAATTGTAGTGAATATAGAATATTTCACTAAAAACCTAAGTAAACAACCTAAATACAAATAGAGAACCTAAGTAAACAACAGTTACAACAGCTATATTTTTTAGCTGCTTTCCTAAGAATAGTTGGAGGAGACTTAGGCAGAGTCCGGGAGGCCAGGGGTTCTTGTAATCAAGTAGATGATGGGGCTGGGCTTAGAATGCTAGCAGTGTAGGTGGTAAGTGGTTTTATTTTTGTTACATTTTAAATTTCTTGGTACTTAGGATGTGAGATATGAGAGAACATTGAAGATGCCTCCACAGTTAATAGCCTGAGGAACCTGAAAGATGACACTGACACTAACAGAGATAGAGAAGACTTTGAGAGAACAGGTTAAAGGTGAAGATGAGGACTTCCATTTGGGACATATTTTAGTTTAAGATGCCTATTAGATAGCTAAGTGGAGATGTCATAGTCATTCACGTCTGTGAATTTAGGGAAGTTTTCCATGCTATAAATATCATTAATATTTCAGAATGTCATGAGAGAGAATAAAAGTAAAACTAGAGTTGTTAAAAAGATCAGTGCATTGTGTCACTGTCAGTACCCTAGCTGTGATACTGAGCTGTACTTTTGCAGGGTGCTGTCACTGGGGAAGACTGAGTAAAGGGTACATGAAATTTCTCTACACTGTTTCATCCAACTGTATGTAAATCTATAATTGTCCCAAAATTAAAAAATGTAAAAGGACCTGTATAAGATTCTTGAGGATGTAGTAAAAACAGACAAAGGGCAGGGCCTCTAAACTCTGGGTAGTGATCTGTCTGTTGGTAAACTGAGGAGGGTGAGAAAGAACGGACCAAGAAAACTAAGCAGATATGATCTGTGATGGGCAGGAGAACTAGGGAGAGGCAGTACCTTTCTGTGGAGCCCCACTTACCCTTTTTGTGAGGTGTGAGGGCTAACTTGTTCTACAGTTCTGGGGTTCTCTAATTCATTACTTGATATACCTAAATATCATTATTTTTATGAGAAGGTGAATTTAGAATGCCACACATCTCTATCCAATAGCAAAAACAGGGAATGTTGATCTTTAGAAGATTAAATGTCCACACTCCTAGGCATATACAACTCTGTACATGTACTACTGTAAAAACAATCTTCTTGTGTTTGTATAAAAGAAGGTAAGTATTGTTTCCCAAATACTCCATTGTAGAGCTAATGTCCATTATTTATATGTGGTGTGGGGGGAAAAGTTTCTGTGGTCAAATAAATTAAGGAAATACAAGTTAAAATTAAATAAATTCTTTAATATGGGATTTTTCATGCTGTATGTCACCTGTGAATATCTA